ATGACCAACCATAAAATAATCAGCCTTAACTGAATGAAAGCATATTTAATTGGAAAGGAAAATATTTTGCATAATACTTGACTATTATCTATGGAGAAAGATACATTAGACTGAAGTTCATTTGAACCTCCATGACAGCGATTTCTATTAAACAGACAGAAATCTAATACAAACAATACAATGATGTACATGTGACTTGTAAAACAGTTTTAATGTTATCGTTAAAAGATACATAGTTGTGCTAATCATTCCAACTATAGAAAGTAATTACAATATTTTAACCCAGCAGGAATTACCTTTTTGTTAGAGAAAAATACAGAGTGAAACTATTATAAAATGAGTACACATTTTATAAAACATTTTATATCTGTACATTGAAAGATAATTAGTATGTTGAATGAAAACACTCCATCAAATATTACAAATTGAAGTGGTTTACCATGCTAAAGTTAAGGGTTGTCTAAATAGTTGTTATGTTTAAGGAATTTACTTTTGAATATATATATATATATTAAATATATAAAGTTGTGCTGTTAGTCACAATATTTTAATGCCTGCAATTCCTTTTAAAAATATTTAACAATGCCAACAGTACCACAGGATAATGTTAGTATATTACAGTGATTAATAACTATGCATTAAGTATTAGTTATTTGCTAACTTCAGGAATCATTTATAAATTTAGATGAAGCAAGTGCACATAAAATATGAAAAAAATATTTTACTTCAACAATATAGTGCAAGCAAATATAGTGCATCTACATTCAAGATATTGAATAATATAATATGAACCTGTTTGATTGCATTTAACAGCAAAATCTATCATGTATTGGTTATGTTTCTTTGTTTATGATCAGTGAAGAAGCTATTGCAGATAGTCTTCGACATGACCATTTGTTTAACAACCATTCAGACACAATGACAATGGAAATATATACTTTAGGGCCTGTAAAATGCCTTACAAGCACTTGTAAAACATTGCACCACTTTCACCCTTGTCACATGACTGCATTTTGCACACTTGGCAACCTGTTTACTTTTATGACCAGTTGCCAAGTGCCCTGTGACCATGTGATCGCCATTGGCGATCTTCTTTGCTGGCTTCCTCAGAAGGTCAATAGAGAAAGCCAGCAGGAAAGGTTGCAAATGGAGGATTTGAGAGCCATTCTTCCAGTGCACAGAGGGACTTTTCCTCCCACGCGCCGGAGGAATGGAGCTGAAATCTGGCAAAAATACTGTACTAGCAAATGTTCAGGCTCAGAGCCTTTCAGAAAGTCAGCTTTTCTAATGGTCTGAAGGTTTCAGAATACTGAATCTCAGAGCCTTTCAGAATTCCAGCTTCACTAGCATTTCCTCTCCAGAGGAGAAAATGCTAGCAAATGCTATTGTTCTCACTACGAGCAACTTAGACCCTTTCTCTATGTTGCACAATTTGCAGAAGAATCCTTCTGCATCACTATGAAAATGGGGCTCTTGTACAGGCTAGAGTGTAGATCAGTGGTAGTCAACCTGGTCCCTATCGCCCACTAGTGGGCGTTCCAGCTTTCATGGTGGGCGGTAGGGGTTTGCTATAACTCTGCTTTATAAATTTTATAAAGTAATTTCCCTGTTTTATAAATCACCATTAATATGGAACTGGTGGGCGCTTAGAAAATTTTACTACTAACAGAGATACAAAAGTGGGCGGTAGGTATAAAAAGGTTGACTACCCCTGGTGTAGATGATTTCCATGTGTTGGTGGGCACCAAGGCCACCCTACACAGTCACTTATCGACTGCAACAGAAAGAGCTTGCATTGCAATTGTTGAAGGAAGTGGTCACATAGGTGCCTTGCTTAAAGATTACAATGAGTTACAATCCAGATTCAATTGTGCTTGTAAATTCAGAACTATATGTATTACATGAGCTGGAAATATGTCCCATTATGGCACCTACCTGTTTATATCTGTGTGTATGTTACTGAGTAAGTATTTGTAAGAATCAGGCTCTATAGGTATAATTCATGTCTCCAGGGTAGGATAATGCAACAGGGTGTTTTAGTTGAAAGCTCTGATAGCACCACCAAGGCAGAAAAAAAACCCACTCAACTTCAGTCTTCTGGTCTATTTTATGATGATTAAAGAGTATTTTAGTAAGAGGTTAACATCAAGCTTCACCGTTACAGTGATGTGGACAGCCAGCTAGTAAAACCAGTGTAGATTTATCATATTGTCATAATGGCTTAATTGAAATTGTTAGATCACTACTTAATTATTAGCCCCTTGCCATTTTAAGATAATGTTCACAAAGTGAACATTAATGTCTCCCACTTCTACCCCTTACTTTAACAATTTATGGAATACTGTAACGTATAGTAAAATCTGGCTTTTAATACTGAAAGATGGGGGGGGGATCACAAAACACATTTATAGCAAAAGGAAAATAGTGCATCTTCATGTGTATCCATAGCTTTTCCCCCCCCAAAGGCCAGCCTCTGCGCTATATACCTGAGCAGAAAACATTCAGATTACACAATGCAACTGGTGAGGTTCTGTGTGTCTTGGGCCCTTTAACCATTCTTGGGTGATTGCCACAGGGGAAGAAGAGTGCAGTGTGAAAGATGCAGAGACCTGTTTAAGCAGAATTCAGATCCAGAGCTTTGGGTTGTGTTTTCTTGGAGGTCAGATCAGACAACTTCTTCAGCCTTTTCTTCAGCTCCAAAGGGAATTTCTCATAGCATTTCTTGCACACTGGCTTCATGTCAAATTCCACAAACTTATTCCTTTGAAAGAAATATGTTACCATTAAATTCTACTCAGAAAAGCCATGTTGGGTTTGAAAACTAAGTAGGGAAGATGTGAGGTACATTTTCCCCACTGTTCCTATTAATGGGCAAATTTCTCCAAAGTCCTGGTAGTAAATCTACATACAAATAAGTGCCTCACTCAACCTATGGTTTAAAATAGAATAGTTAAGTGACTATCCAAACAGAAGATGCTATTGGTGTCTGCAATTCTGTTAGATATATTTAATTTTATTATGTACTTAATAATTTTNGCAGTTTGTTTGCTTTTTTGGCTGTTGGTCTAATGTTAATCTTGATGTTAATCTTCTCATCTGGGTGTTAATTGCTGGTGAGGAGGTGTTTTTTTGTTTTTTTTTTGTTTCTCTTTTGGCTTTTGATGGTCTCTTTTGAATGGTATGTGGATGTTTATCTCTATAAATATTGTTTTGCTTTTTTCCAAGGGTTACAAAATGGATGACTTGTTGACATCATACGTTCATTTGCTAATGAACATTGTAAACAAACAGAAAAGGCCCAATATCCCTGCCTGAAGATGCAGCTATCATCACACAAAGGTTGTGCCAGATTTGCAATATTTGCTATCTTGAAAAAAATGGGACTTGGTTACTTTGTTTTTTGGGTTTTTTTCACCAAAGAGAAGACAACCATATAATTGCTGTTATACCAGAAATAAGTGTCGGTTTCTGCTGACTGCAGCTTAATCATACCTGGCTTGACTGCAAGTTGTACTATCAGCATATCAAGATTTTGTTCCAAACTATTATCTTTTTAATAATTATAACCTCCTTCTTTTGAAATATTGATCACATTCTTATTGTATTCTAGCCATCAGCAGTACAAGCATAAAAAGATGTTTGCTTCCAGTTATAAAATACATTATTTTGAAAGAAAACAGCATGCTCATGAGCTGAAGATTTCATTTTTGGAGGACTGTCGGAACTTCATAAAACAAGACTCTGTGTCCTAGATGCCTTCTGGTCATTGGATTCAATATTATTCCCCCCCTCTTTCGTATTTCTGGAACACGCTTGCATAATGTTATTATGAAGACTGACATCTGCTTAATTAATTCTGTAAATTTACATAATATTTATTGTTTGAGAGAGAATTGCAGTTGTATTTTTTAAAATACTATTTTTTTTTGCTTGCTTTCTATGATTTGTATACTATTGGACAAGCTTCCACAACGGAACTTCAGCCTACGTAAACATACCTAAAATTATGCTTTGTCAGATCATTTCTGACAAAGCTGTAGATCCCTCCAAACACAGCCTTTGCTCCTCTTTCTCTTTGCCACCAATTCTTTTGGCTGAAAATGGTTTTCTTGGAATAGTTTTGTATAAGAACAAGGAACAATGGCCATGGTTGATACTGCAATGCTTTGTGTAAAAGAGGAGACACTGAAGTTGTCCAAATCAGACATTTATGAAAATCACAGTGTATTTGCATCTGGTTCCTGAAGTATTTTTAGCAATTGATGGAAGCCAGCATGTTGACTGTTGGCTGTTATTTTTCCAAAGTAATCACACACTCTCTTGTAAATCCAGAGGAAGATATAATGTTCTGCACTTAATGGCCATATGCATATGTGTGACTGGAATGAGACAACTTGCTGCGGCCAGCTCAGTGCTGTGAACTCACTGCCTACAGCTTACCACCAAGTCACGTCTGTCAACTCACTGTCATCAAGTTGCCAGACAACTCCCAATGGCCAACTCTCTGGGGCAGATGGGGAGAGAGCCAGGAGGGTGAGCCAGTGGTTGAACAGAGTGCAGAGCAGCAGTAGCTGCTAGCGGGTTCCCATTTTCATATACACACCCGTCACTGCTGCTACTGCTGCCACCTAGGTTCGGGCCAAAGAAACCGAGGACGGCAGCAGCAATAGGGAGGCAGTGACTGCCAGGGATGTCCCATTTTCACACACACCATCACCGCTGTTGTCTTCGGCCTCTTTGGCACAGAGCTTGGCAGCAGCATGCCAGAATGTATAAAAATGGGAAGCCCCTGGACGCCGCTGCTCTGCACTCTGCCCAACCGCTTGCTCACCCATCTGTCCTTCTGGCTGTCCCCAGGGAATTGTCCACCAGCGAGTTGGCTGTGTGGAGTTGTCCTGAAGCAACGTAGCAATGGTGAGTTGACAGAGGTGATGGTGGCTGGCTGCAGTAATTTGGCCGCCTATCAAGAGGAGACAAATCATGTGGTGGCCGTACATTATCCTACACCTATGTACGATAGATTACTAATATTTCTGTGTAAGTAAAATTCCATACTTTTCAAAGTATCTTTTTAAAAAGTGAAATGCATAAATATATTTTATGATATATGTCTGTAGCTGATACTGGTTGCTGTGAAATTAGAAAGATCAAGGTGACAAGGCCTATTACCAGGGGTGTCAAACTTGATTTCATTGTGGGCCACATCAGGGTTGTGTTTGACCTTGGAGGTTGTGTATGGAGTGGGTGAGGCAAGGGTGAGTGTGGCCAGCTCACCATAACTTGTGTCGGGGGCACCTGTGGTGGCCTGAGCACTCTGCCAGAGAAAATGGGCTCCTAAGCTTTTTGGCTGCGATGAATGTGGTCCTCCAGAGCTCCGTTTTCACTGGCAGAAGCACTGTGAGCCAGTCCTTCGCTGTTTCCAGGGCGCTATCTAAACACCCCACAGACTGGATTCAGCGTTGAGTTTGACACCCCTGCCTATACTGCAGAATTTCTGAATTCTAAATGTAAATTCAGCATTATGTTGTAACTAAATATATTTTGCATATTTCTTTTATGTTAAGTGTATAATCAAAATATTTTATCCATTTTAAAACACAAATGCAGAATAAATGCAGTTTTGTTTCTTCCAGAAAAACATGGTACTAAGCCAAATGTAAATCAATAAATTCCTGAATAATCTGGTTTTATAAAATTCCTTAGTGATTCTGACTAGATTAAAGGATATCTGTGGCAGATTAGAAGTTAAATAAATAAATAGCTGCAGCAA